CTGCAGGTAACCAGTCTTCTTATGCTTTGCTTTATTTTGTTTTGTTTTGTTTTCCCTCATTCTCTGATTTTCTTTATACATGCACCACATACTTTGTTACGGTTTATATCAAGAATGTCCGGGCCGAGGATTAGCTCAATGGCACCGTGCCTGCCTTGCAAGCACAAGGTCCAGAGTTCAATCCCCATCACACACACACAAATATGTCCCCCAAAGGCCTCATGCAGTCATAGGCAGGGCTTTTGGAAGAGGATTGGACCATGGGGCTCCTATAGCTATCTTCCTGTTAGGAGGTGGGGCCTTGTCTGGAGAGGCCTTGTTGGAGATGTGACTTGGTAGAGTGTGGCGCCCTCCCCGCCCCTCCCTTTGTTCTGTGCCTCCTGGTCGCCATGACTTGAGCATCTTTTCTCGGCCTGTCCCTTCCACCATATTGTTTTTCCCTTGGAGCCAGCCAACTATGGACTGTAACCATGAGCCTCCTTTAAGCTGTGATTGTCAGGTATTGTGTCTCAGAGACAAAAAAAGTGACTAACACATACTTTGATCCAATATACCATGAATTAGTCTATCAACAACATATTAAACATATTGTTTAATTTTGCCTTCTTAACCTTGAAAAACAGTCTCATATATCAAATATTCTGTTGTGACCTTTTTAAAAAAATTCATTAGGGCCAGAGATTTAGCTGCTCAAGCGCAAGGACCAGAGTTCTATCCCTGGTACCAAAAAAAATAAAAAATAAAAATAAAAAAATTCATTAAGTTTATTGGTACATTTTATGTATATAATATGATGACATTCATCATTGGGAATTTGTACCTGTACATGATATATCTTGGTTCTTAAAAAACTTAAGTGATTCAACTATATTGATTTCTCCAGCTGTAGTCTATGCATATTTACTTTTGCATTCCACTTTATAAATATACCACAGACTTACCCATACTTCTGCTATTAGACATTTGGGTTGTTTTCCTGTTACAAACAATGCTGCATTGAACATCTGCACATCTCCTGGTCCACATATGCCAGGACTTCTCCAAGCATACACCTAAGAGTGGAATTATATGCTCAAGATGAAAGAATAGTGCCAAATTGGTTCCCAACATGGCTGACCCCAGATAGTTTCCTGCCAGGAGTATTTAAATTCTCCTATATGGCACATCTTTGACAACATGCATCCTTTTCAAACTTTTTAATTATTGCTAAACAAGCAGGTATCAAATGATGTCTTCTTGTGATGTCAATCTTCATTTCATTCATTTTCTCTTCCCTCTCTCTTTTTTTTTTTTTTTTTTGAGACAGGCTCTCACTGTGTAGTTCAGGCTGTCCTTGAACTTACTATGTAGGCCAGGCTGGCCTCAAAGTCAAGGTAATCTGCCTGTCTCAACCTCCCAAGTGCTAGGATTACAGGCATGCACTGCCTCACCTGGCTCATTTTCTCTTGTAAAAAATACCTATTTGTGTCTTTGTCCATTTTTTAAAAATAAGCTGTTTCTTTTTCTTAAAGATTTGTAACAATTCAATATCAAGTGCCTTTTCACTTATATGTGTTAATATGTCTTCTTCCAGTTTGAATCTTGCATCTTCTCACTTTTGTTAGTATTTGTTGATAAATGGAAATTTTCAATTTCGGTGTAACCAAATTAATCATGTTTTTCGTCTAAGGTTATCTTCTTTTAGTTTTGTTTTCTTTTTGGTGACTTTTCCCTATCCTGAGGTCAAAACAGCCTCTTATGCTTTTTATTAAGAATATTAATGTTTTGTCTTTGATATTTAAGTACTTCATTCATCTGGAATTTACTTTAGTTCATGATGTAATTTTGTAGCCTAGCTTCATTTTTTCTCCAGATGGATAAGTTGTTTTCCCAGCCCCATTTATTGAATCATCCCTACCCTTGCCTTTTATCTGCAATGATAATTTTGTCATATATTTTTCCTCTGCATTCTAATCAGCATAGGAAGAGTTGAGACATACAGGAGTATTGAAGTATGTAAAAGTGTGTGAAGTAAGAAGTACAGGGGCTGGGGATGTAGTTCAGTAGTAGAGTGCTTGCCTAGATGGGAGAAGGAGGCAGAAGAGGAAGAAGAGGATGAGGAGGAGAGGGATGGGGAGTGAAGAGGGGGTGAGGAAAGGGGGGTGAGGAAGGGGGAGGAGGAGAAGAAGGAGAAGGAGAAGGAGAAGGGGAAGAAATAAGAATCTCTGACTAATTCTTATTTTAACATTTCTAATATTTTGCTATTTAGTACAGGTGCTTCCCATTTCTTCCTAGCTCTGTAAACAGGTTTTGTTTTTCTTTTTAATTCATGAATGGGTGTGGAATTTTATTGGATGCTTTTTCTGTGTCTGTTGGGATGGATATAGTTTCCCTTTTTTTACTTTGTTAATATAGCCAATTATATCAATTGATTCTCTTTTAAAACATACCCAATTGTCTCAAGATTATCTGTGCTCTCTGAAATATCTGTATTCCTATCTCATCTTGTTTCCTTTGTGCTCACTGGACTTCTCAGAAATGGTTTTATAACTTCTTGGCTTTTGCTCATTGGGAGGAATGTTGGCTCCTAGCTTCTTCCTTGCTCATATCTAGAAAACAGGAAGTGGTTTTTTTTTTAGAACACAGGACTTAACAATCAGGGAGACTTTAGTTTGAGTCAGATTTATCTACTTGGTAGCTAGTGATCTTGCTCAAGTTATTTAACTTCTCTGGATTTACTTTCACTCACCTGTAAGTAAGGCTTCTGGTCTACCCTTCACAAGACCTTAAGAATCAAAGCCAAATAATGCACAAAAAGGCTTAACCCAGGAATTACCACACACTGCAGTCCCATAAGTTATCTGTTATAAACCTTGTGGTGGGCTCCTTTGTGATCTGAAGATGGCATTTTTCATATCTATTATGGATCATAAGTACCTTTATGGTTGAGAACATGAATTTTATGTCAGTGGAATTTTATGCACAAACCCATTCATTTATTCAGCAGAGAGTTGAATACTTATTATATGCCAGATACCTTCCGAAGCACTGGAGATATATTGTTCCACTAGATAAACATGGGCTCAGAGACATGCTCTGTACACTTGTGAAGCTCACAGGGGAAAATAGGTAGTTGAGTGTTTGGTAGATATGGTGAGTATGGAGTGTGTTTTCCCTTTTAAAAAAGTATTTCTTTTAGCCAGGCATGGTGGCACAAATGTTAGCTACTTGGGAAGCTGAGGCAGGAGGATATCAAATTTGAGGCCAGCCTGGGCAATTTATAGGGACCCGGTCACAAGACCAAAATAAAATAAAATGAGGCTGTGGATGTAACTCAGTGACAGAGGGCTTGCCTGGTGTGCATGAGACCCCAGGTTCAATTCCCAGTACCCTCCCCCAAAAGGGAATTTTCTTTTGTCAAAGAGTAAAAGTAAGATTTAAATTGCTGGAGGACTCTATAATCAAATTTCTGACTTCCTACCTCCTTAAATCATTGAGCCCTTCAGGTTAATAAGACACACATGATAAATCATGAAAAAAATGAGAAAACATTAGAGATCATAGGAATAAAAGTGGTCAGGAGAACACAGATATGAGAAATACATATTTCTATGGGCAATTCACAGAAAAGATTTATGATGCCTTATTCATAGAAATATACTTGTGTTAAATTCCTGACAGTCATTTACCTGAACCACAGTTTCAAATAGAAAGCACAGCATGGACATCAGGAAGTTTGCCCATCAATACTAATAGAATCACTGAAGGAGAATTAGGAAGATTTGAACCATCAAAGGGAACCCTCTGAACCATTCCTAATGTATTTAGGCATTTGTGATATTGAGTGGACAATAAAATATGCACACCAGCCTATCAAAGGCATTTTTTATTACTTTCCATTCATTACTAGTATATATTACACATACCGATTCTAAATGTATTTTGGGCTTTGGAACCTCCTACACCCACCCCCCCTTAGTCTTTGGATCTCAGTCAGGAAGGATGAACAATGATGTCAGTGTTTTTCTCCCTGCCCTGGCTTTTTTTTCAAGTTGCTTTAAACTGGTAGATCCTAAATCAGCACTTGGAAAAAATGTCTCTTTAAACTCAGTAATCCAATATCTGCCAAGTCATCTTAATTTTCCTGAAGAAAATATCATTGGCTCGGGGATATGAGGCAGTAACACAAAACTTAGAAATATAACTGACTTTATTTGAGATCCCACTAAGGATTTAATCATCAAGGAAATGGAAATAGCTTTTCTTCAGAATTCATTTTCCCCTTGTGAAACAAAATTGTCATCTTCTTTCCACATAGCTTTTTAGGCTGAACTGACTGAATTATGCATCCCAATGTGTTTGGTTTTAGTGATTTAAAAAATCTTTTACTTCCCTTTCTACTTTGCAACCTTAGGAAATTGATAAAAACAAGTGCTGTAGCCCTGATAATGTTGAAAGAAAGAGAAAGAAAGAAAGAAAGAAAGAAAGATTCATATAGAGAACTGAATAACTTGTTATATATTTAACATAAAATATATTAGTTATTAAAAAGAATAAACTAGTTAAATATGTGTCGAAATGAAATGATCTACTATTAAGGAAAAAAAGCAAGGTATAGAACAATATGCATAGTAAGGTCCCATTTATGCATTTAAGAAGACATATATGGGCCGGGGATTTAGCTCAGTGGTTTCACCGCCTGCTGCGCAAGCGCAAGGACCCAAGTTCAAAAAACCAAAAAAAAAAGACATATATAACGTACACACAATATGCTTATACAGGCATAGGTATTTTCTGGAAGGATACATAAATAGGTGATTATCATAGGTGTTACCTCTGGATAGTGGAACTGAAGTAAGAAAATTTATTTTTCATTTTATCCCCCTTAGTTCTATGTAAAAGGTTTTCCATTTTTCATTTGCTTTTATAATATAAAAATGTTATAATATATATTTTATAATAATTTAAAAGTAGTTAAAACTTACAATTGAATGATAACCTTTGCACTTTTTGGTGTTTAGCTTGTCCTAGGTTTTTGCATCTTTCTGCTTCCTTGGGCTCCACTTTCTCTCCGAAAAATTGCCATGCCCATACATGTTTATTCTGGACTTTTCCTCTTTGGAACAGTGATTGCAACAGTCCTGATGGGAGTGACAGAGAAGCTGCTTTTTCTGTAAGTTGCATAGTCTTCCTAATCAAAATACTTTAGCTTTAAAACATTTGTACTTGTTCACTAGGAAAATGTGATTAAATGTAGCAATATTTAATATTAAAGAAATTGAGCTTTAACATAGCTATTTAAAAAATAATTATATCATACCTGTAATATGACAATACTAAAAGCTTAGCAGGACTACTCTCACAAAACAATATTGAAACTACACATTACCTTTCAGTCTTTGTTATGCATGTTTTTATATTATTTGTAATTATAGTATACATGCATTTTTGTTTCATTGGGTTTTTTTCAGTTTTTAAGTGACGTGGGTGTTCCAGGTGCTATATTATTTTCATACTTAGGATTTTTTGGGGGGGTGGGTACCAGGGATTGAACTTAGGACCTTGTGCTTGCTGGGCAGGTGCTGGAACCATTGAGCTAAATCCCTGGCCCCCATACTTAGGATTTTTAACAATTTTATAATATCCCAGTGTGTGTTATCGCATAATTTAAATTTATTTTTAATATCAAGCTTTAAAGAAATTTACATTCAAGCTGTATTCATAGATGAATTCAATAGTGTGTTGCATGGTGCTATATCATCCTATTTGTAATGGATACACTTTCTTTTTTTACTTAGGGAAAATAATCTATACCGTTCATTCCCACCAGAAGGCATTTTCGCAAATACCCTTGGTCTTCTGATTTTGTTGTTTGGGGCCCTCATTTTTTGGATTGTCACCAGACCACAATGGAAGCGTCCTACAGAACCAGATTCCTCCATTCTCCAGTCGAAGGGAGGTGCTGCAGAAGGAATGGAAGTCACCATAGCAGTGAGCTTGGGCAGCAACATGGACAAATCCGATTCAGAGTTAAACAATGAAGTAGCAGCCAGGAAGAGAAACTTTGGCCTTGATGAGGCTGGCCAGAGGTCTACCATGTAAACTGTCGTCATGCCATATAACTTCACATTTAAACGTGTAGCCATATAAATTCACCTTTAAAAACTAATTGTACAGTTTAGCTTCTCCTACTTAATCATGAGACGATTGAGCTACGTAGTGTCAATATTTGTTGTAATCACCAAGGAGGATTTCTCAAAGGAGTTTGGATTGATTAAAGTCCGTGAACTTACCCAAACTGGAAAGGACATGAACAATATAAATAATAATAGATATAAATTGGGTTTATGTTGATCTTTCTTATTGAGGACCAAAGCATTATCACAGTGCCTTGCATGGAGCAGATGTTCAAAGTCTGTCTGTCAGTTTGATAAACTAGCAGTGTCCTGACCTCATGTCAGTCATTTCCTATTAATTCTGGGAGCCCAGTGATTTCAGAACTAGGTAGAATCAGCCCTAAAGTTTTAAAATCAGATCACTAATATTGGGGACAGGGTTTAGATCATTTTCCTACACAAATATCACAACAGAAAAAAAATCTTTAGGAAAACTACTAGTTCCCTTTCTCCATGGCAGACTTCTGCTTCCTCACCCAGCTGGTTTGGGCTCAGATTGGCTCTGGATGCCAGTGTTTATATGAGGGTATTTTGGAGCAGTCTTTGGTTCATCGATAGCTGAAGAGATTTTCCTTGGACAGATTTTGAAGATTTTCCAAAACTCATCTTAGTCTCAAGACTTCCTGAGCTGGTGTACTTTACAATCCAGATTCTAAACCTCTTAGAATGAAAATATGCCTGAATGCTTAAGCAACATACACGACTCTCTAAAACTCAGAAAATAACTTTTTCCTTAGTCTCTGATTTTTATTTTAAATTAAATTACTTACCTGGCACTCCAGCATCTGGCTAGACACTCTTTTAAGCACTTTATAATTAGCTCCCTCCACCTCTAGACAGACTTTCTGAGGTAGGTATTAGCCCCATTTTACATGTGAGAGATCTCAAACTTGGAGTAATTGGTAACTCGACCCAGTGTCACACAGCTCATAAGCAGTGGAACTGACATTCAAATGCTGGCAGTCTGGCTCCTCAGTCCATGCTCCTAACCTTTTCACTCTGCTGCTCTTCTGTTTTGTACTAATTTGCATCACTTTGACTTGGCCTTGGATATATCTCAGTCGCTGGAGTCGGGTGGAATGGAGGTGTGAAGGATGCTTTTCCCTTTGACTCTTCCCATAAGATTTCCCAGGCAGCCCAGGAAAAGGAGTCTCCCACTCCTGGATATAGATCTAGGGACCTCTGCCACAACCACAAGTCATAGCCTGCCTTGGTGCCCATTGAATCTTAACATTGTGTCTTGATGACAGAAGGATTTGGGAAAGCACATCTGTAGTTTTCAAGATTAACTAATTAATATTCGTTCTCCAGGATTTGGAAGGGCAGTAGTGGGGAGACTGAACCTGAGCCTTCTACATGCTAGACAAATATTCTGCCACTGAGCTACATTCCCAGCTCTTCAGGATCTTAGCTCCTGAACAACTTTGCAGCTGGAGAGACCTATCTCACAGGCTCCCCTTCCCTGGGGCTATAGCCAGGGTGTTTCCTGACTTTTGTAAAATTTTAAGGGATATTTTGAGCCTTGGGTTCTTAGTGGTGAATTAAGGCTTAGAGATGGTAACTTTTCCAGGATGGGAATCTCTATGTAGGCTCTAAACTGACTTAAAATGTAGAGTAGCACCTATGCTGAAATGATGCATTTGGGGTTTTGGTTGGTTTTCAGCTTTCATGCAATTTTAAACTGAAGCATTGAGAGCGGATGTGGTGCCTGAGGCAGAAGGATCATTTGAGCTCAGAAATTTGAAGCCAACCTGGGCAACATAGTAAGACTCCATCTCTTAAAAACAACAACAAACAGAACACTGCAGCTTTTTAACGTGAATAAGAACCTTACGGTTTACATCAAATATACTTAACATTTTTGGTGCTTCAAGGGCTTCCTTTTAGGTAACTGACTATATTTCCAAAGGCCGAATACAAATTACACTCTAGCATATCCCTTAAACTTCATGAATAACCATTCAGGATTCCCTTATTGCGACACGGTTTGTTTGTTTTTCTTATTTAATTATATTTCCAAAATTGTTAATAGGGTCAGAAGGATGGCAGTACCCAGCCCAAGACCAGTTGTATAGTAGCACAATTACATTCAGTATGAATGCTAAGCAGTTGGTAAGTAGTTGCCTGGTCACCCACAAATATAGTTTGATAAATGGATGTTTCATTACACAGAAGTATGCAAACTTCCATGACTTCTTTGGGGCAAGAAGGGGATAGTGACTGAGTCTCAAGAGTTGAGGCACCATTCCTTTTTATGTAGGCCAAGAAAGAGGTTATCAGTGTAAAGCTAATTACTCGGCACTAGAATAGATCCATTGCAAAGTTTTTGAGCGCCCCTCACCTCAGCCCTTTATTTTCTCTCAAGCAGGCTAATGTGAGGGTAATCTTACAGATATTGTAGGAACTTCTTTCTTTTTCAGCCCTTATGAAAAGGATGCATAGTAAAATATATCTAGAAAAACCTTCTATTTGAGACTTTCCTTTTAATGGGTTTTCTTTTCTAATGATAATTGCACCTTTATCTCTCAAAAGCTAATATTTCCTACCTAAAACATCTCCCCCAAAAATATCGCATTAAAAAGCCCACAAAGAATAGGGGAGAAGAAAGGCTTAGGTATCAATTCCAAAATAATGATTGAATCCTCTAAAATAATTACAGCTTATATCATCTGAAGAGATAATCTGGCTTGGCTTACCCCATAATCTAATTTCAGAAAAGAAAGCTTTATTTTAACACTCATGTAAGTCAACATGAAAGGCTTTTCTCTTGACGGGTTTATTGAGAAACTCAAATGAATATACTTTATTGAATTAATGTCATCAAAAGTATACAGTTTCCTGTGCTTGTGTCAAACTGAACCCACCTTCCAGAGCACTTTCTTTACTTGTATGGTTTCATTTAAGCTGAGCTATTTAGAAATAGCATCTCAGACCTCACAATGAAATGACAAAGAAGGCAATTGCACTTTTTAAGGAATACTGACAAGTGGTTTCTGTTTTGTGAAGAACGAAATAAATTGTATGTCTTGTCTTTAATTAGGCTCTTCTCCCTGCTGAGTTGAAAAATCTGTACAATACTCATTGACCACAACTGCCAAATTTAAAGCACAAAGGAAGAACTAAAACCTTAGGCCACTTTTGTTGCAATATGATGGAATTTTATCTTGATATATTCTTTTTAGATAACTCCAGCAGAAAACTGTAACTTCTATGTCATAGCTACGCATAGGAAAGTATAGAAGAAAGTTATTCTTTATCTCCTACAAGGTACCTGAGAGGTTTAGTGGAAAAAAAATATTTCTCTTTTAAATTTGTCTTTTTATCTTAGCAGATTTATGGGAAAATATTAAATATCTTGAATATTTTGTAGGAAAGATACTCATTTATTTTTTCTTTTTATATAGCAATAAAAAGGTATGTTAGAAGCTTTTTGTGTGCATTATCAATTTGTCCAGGTAAGAAGGTATACCAATTGGTCTGAAAGTTTCTTTTCCATGATTTTTTTTTGGGGGGGTTAATTTTTTTTAGTTCTATTAAAAATGCTGTCCGATTTCCCTATCAAGTGTAGTCTGAGCACCATACCTTTTACAGTATCAGGCAACTGTTTCAAAACTGTCTGTTATAGTTGAGATTCCAAACGTCCCCCAAAAGCTTCATTTGTTGGGGGGGCGCTTTTGGAAGGTGATTGGAACACAGCAGTGCTATGGGTGTGTTGCCATTAGGAGTTGGAGGCAGGTCACTGGGGAGGTGACCTGCAAGGGTGTATGTCCCTCCCTGGCCCCTCTCTTCTCTCTCTGCTTTTTTGTCACCATGGCGTGAGCGGCTTTCCTCTGCCCAGGCTATTCCACCATGCCATTTCTACCTTATAGCCAGCCCATCAGGGACTGTGACTGTGAACCCAAAACCTCGCCTCCTTTAAGTTGTGGCTATCAGCTCTTATGTCCCAGCAATAAGGAGAGTGACTAAGATGCCCTTCTTTACAGGCTCTGAGTTGGAGTCACACTGCAGCCTAAAAAGGTACCACAGATACAGGCAGCCCACGCAGATGTGGTATAAGTTGGAAAAGCATGGAAGAAGAGCCTATTAAATTAATTATTGTCATAAAATTCTGTTTATAGTAACTTTTCCTGGAGAAAATATATAATGCATCATGGATGAACTGCTTTGTTTCCCCCCAATCACCCCAAAAAGGATCATTAGCACCCAAGTAGTGCCTAAACTCATCCAATCATAATTTGACCACTCATTTAGGCTTTCTTTGATTTTTTCAATCTGCTGGAAATGTTCGTGTTATTTTATGTAGATATAATAGTAACAGTATAAAATTATGTCCTGTTATCCAATACACCTGTAATATGCATGAGTTGAATTTTTATGTTAAATCACATTTTGTGACAGATTTATTTCAGAGATACTGTATTTCACCTTAGATTTATATTAATTGGCAAGTGCTTTTTGCACTTTATAGATATATATATACTGTGGAGCAAATTACTATGTAATTTTACATGTATTGCCTCATTTAGTATAATTTGCAGTTGTGCTAGATATGTCAATATAGTGCCCACCATGCCCCAGCCCCTCCAAGGGGCTTCTGTTTTACTGACTATATGTCACCCATGTCTTCTCAGCCACAGCTAACTGGACAGGATGAGAAAGGACATGCCACCCACATGCAGCCTCTCCAAAGCAGGATGACACACTACAGAGTAGCCTCACAGAAAAAGACAGCGGTCGTTTTGCTCCTCTCTCTTCTAAGAACTTGCACTGGGAAATACTTCCAGAATAAGTCAGTGAAAATGGAAGCTAAGAGCATCTGAAGACCAGAGCCAGGAGGGAGAGCCTAGACCAAGAGTCAAGAAACTTTGCCTGAAAAGAGTCAAGCAGGTTTTGTGAACTACAACTACTCAACTCTGCCATTGTAGCCCAAAGTGGCCACAGACAGTACCTTCATGAGTGAGATTAGACTGGCTGTTTTTCCAGTAAATTTTATGTACAAAAACATGTCTTGGGACACATTTGGCCCTCAGGCTAAAGTTTGCCAACCCCTGGTCTAGACCAGGAGAAGGGCCATTGTAGTTCTTGATAAGCAAAAAGAGGAATTATAACTTACGTAGGAAGAAGACAGTGATGGTAGAGAGGAAGAATTGGTAGCCCGTGACAGGAAACACAGTCACTGTGGAACAGGAAGCAGGTTCTAGTGAAGATCCAGGAAATCCTGTAGAATGCCCCTCGGGCTGCACTGGATTCAGTTCCCGGATCTTTGGAGACTGCTCATCTGGAAATGTGGGGATTTCTGTCTCCATTTTTGGCGCTAATTCAGTGAGTTAGTTACCATTAACCTTGCTTTACAAACGAGGCTTAGAGAGGCAGAGTTTGTCCAAGTCACCCAGCTGGTAAGCAGTTATTCAAATTGTCGCCTGGGTCTTCCAACTCTTCAGAATACTCTCCACTGTACCCCAAGCCCATACTAGTGTGTCGAAGCTCAGAAAGTGATCGTCCCCAAGTAGAGCCTCAGAGTAATGGTGGTGGCCCCTTTTATGAATTGTCCTTTAGGTTCTTCTCCCTCTGCCTGGCATTTTAAATTCTAAAGAGAAGCCTAATCAAATGGAGCTAAATAATCTTTCCTTAGCATTACAGAACCCAGAACATCCGATGACTTTCCGATAATTTTAGAAGGTAAGGTCCTGCCTCATTCTTTAGTTCTGTGCATCAAAAAAGTGTTTGAATCACTGTGCGGTTTTCCTCGAAGAAAAGTAGTGTCTCTGTCTAAAGAACTACAGGAATGAGCCCCATGAGACTGATTGAGGTCCTCTGCGATACGCTGGCCAGAGGAAAAAAGAAGACACACATTCTGGGGGACTGGAGACCCACTTAGAACACAGTCTTCTTGCCCATTGACCCCTATTTCTCCTTTCCCGCCCTACAAAAGCTCTTCCACACTGGAGTACTGGCTCACACTTGCTAGGCTGAGGCAGGAGGATCACCATTTTCAGCCTAGTGTGTGCAACTTAGTGGCTTAGCAAGACCCCACTTCAAAGTAAAAACAATTAAAAAGGGCTGGGAATTATCTCAGTGCAAAGCCCCCCGAGTTCAATCATCCCCAGTACCTGGGGTGGGGGTGGGGGGCTCTTCACATACCTGAGTCCTGCAAGATAGAGTTTTGAAGATTATAGTACCCTCCATTTTTCAGGGTCAGCTATTGAAGAAATCAGATTTTCTTCCCACCAACTCTCATCTTTTGATTAGCAAGTATCCAGACCTGGTAACACCAGAAGCAAAGGTGTTTCTATTGTTGTTGTTGTTGTTGTTGTTGTTGTTGTTGTTGTTTTAACAGGAATTAGAGACTGCTTTTGCCAAAAACACTTCATGTGGGTCCACAGATGTCAAATGAGTAACTAAAAGCAGAATAAAAAATTGTTGTCTGTCTCCATTTTGCAGGTATATCCTTTGCTCTGAGGCATTGTGTCTGGCAGTCACCTTGGATTCTAGGAACAGCATCTGATTGATGAACAACTTGTGATGGGTTAAAACTACCATGTAGGCAACAGCAGCTTTGTTATCATGCCAAGAAGCACCTTCTCTACCACCAGTCCTGAGATAGTGATCACTCAGCCTTTCGACCAAGTCTGCTTGACCGTGTAGACTTTTGGTCCTCTTGTCTACATAATCCGGGAGTTCATGTCAGTACCCCGAAGACAGAGCTGGAAGCATGGATCCCTATGTCTTCCTTGTGAAGCCACACTGATCAAAGTTCCTTCCCTGTCTTCACCATCACTTTTTGCTTGATTTCTTTGAAGCAAATGGCCAGATCTGATGTGTTGGGACCCCCAGATCTGGGGTTGATGGGACCCCTCTACTTTAGGACTCCCATAACAGATTCTCTCTGACACTCTGTCCTGCTGTCTTACCCCAAGGCAAGCCATGAAAAGCAGAATTACTCTTCCTCAAGGCAGGTCAGAGCTTATCTCCAAAGCCAGCCATGAAACCTAAAAACATGACTCTTAACTCCCCCCACTTTTCTGAGTAAGAGTTGGCCATGAAAAAATTTTCTGATCCAGCTTGTTTTGATTGTAGGTCATAAGACCCCCATTCCAGGAGGGTTCTGCCCCATACTTGAAAGGAAGAACTGCTGCAGAGAGAGGCCAAAATTATTCTTAAAAGACGATCTTGTGCTACCCCCTCCCGCCATGTCTATTACCAGCAGATCATGCCCTTTTTATCTTAGTGAGATGGGAATTAGTGAGATAGGAGTTAGGATTCTACTAGGCAGTAAGGATATTGGGCCGCAAATGGAGTCAGCTGAGTCATGACCCTCCCGGGACCTTACAAAAACACCTGCCAGGTGTCCTGTAGCTGTCAGGGACCTCCCCAGAGCATGATCAGGGGGGCCATTGGCCTCTACATGGACATTACATGAGCATTGCATAGATTAGACACTGAAAAGTGTAGTTTCCTATACGTAGAGAGCATATGGCTTGCCCAATGGCCTGAGCTCCCTTCCAAACCCCTTAAGAACCCATAAAAAAGGGTCTTCATGAATATTCTGCTCATGACCCTTTCCTGGCTAGTGTGAGCTTTACCTCCTTGCCTTAATATCTTTTAAATAAATTTGGGCTGATACTCTTAAGTGAAATAAATAGGACACACGTGTAAATACCAAATAGTTTCTCTGGTGTGAGAAACTGAAAATGTAAATGAGGACCAAAATGTATAATAGATAATGTGAAACAGGAAGAAAAGGGGCAAAGGGGAAGGGGAAGAGGAAGGGGGAGTGGGGAGTAGGGGAAAGGAAAGAAGGGAAAAGAAAAAATATGAGAAAAGGAAAAAACAGAAACAGTCTTTGTAAATAAGGAGGGGCAGAGGGGTTGAAGGGGGGGCAGGGGAATGGAGAAAAAATGAGAACCAAGATATATCATGTACAGGTACAAATTCCCAATGATGAATGTCATCATATTGAATACATGAAATGTACCAATAAACTTTTATTTACTCTTTTTTTTTTTGGTAGTGGGGATCGAACTCAGGACCTTTTGTATTCGAGGCAGGCACCAGAACCACTGAGCTAAATCCCCAGCCCTGTACCAATAAATTTAATGAATAAAGAAATTTAAAAAAAAAATTTGGGCCAGGCGTGGTGGCATACTCCTGTAGTCTCAGCACTTGGGAGGCTGAGGCAGGCAGATCACCACAAGTTCAAGGCCAACTTGGAGTACATAGTGAGTTTAAGGCCAGCCTGAAGTACCCTGTCTTAGAAAAAAACCAAAAACAACAAAAACAAATTTGCTTGTACTCTACCTTCTCCATTTGTGGTTTCATTCTTTGTCACCATGGGACACGATCCCAGCATTCTGATACCACAATCATATTTCTCCATAGCTGTCCATGTTTCATTGAACCTACATAAGCATAAAAAAGGACAGCTCACC